CTGCCCCAGCCCCTACCCCTGCCTTCTCCCTCCTCCCAGGCTCAACCGGTTCAACAAGAAGTATGTGAAGAAGTGCCTGATTGCGGGGGAGCGCTCCAAGGAGCCCCAACTCATCGCCTTCTACCACAAGATGGAGAGGAAGCAGGCCATCGAGCTGGTGGAGAGTGGGGGCGTGGGGAAGATCCCCTCTGCAGTCTCCACTGTGTCCATGCAGTGAGTGCACATCCACCCAGTCGGCGAGGGCCCTGCCTCGGGGTGGGGGGGTGGGGCGCCAGCTGCAAACACCAAGGCCGTCCGGCTGCAGGGTTTTCTGGGGACCGACCCTGCACCCTGTCATCCCAGGAACATCCACCCCAAGACCCTCCCTCCTGAGCGTGTCCTGCCAGCCCTGTCCAAGGACAAGGAGGAGGAGATCCGTAAAATCCTGAGGAACAACTTGCAGAAGACTAGGCAGCGGGTGAGGCCACTCCCCAGCTGCTCCCCATGCAGGAGCCCCATCCCCTGCCCAGTCTGAGCCCACGCCCAGCACCCCCACACACATGCCCTGAGCCTCCAGCCCTGGCCCTCAGGCCCAGCTCCCAGGGCCGCCCTGCCTGACAGTTGCCCCCCCACAGCTGCGGTCCTACAACAGACACACGCTGGTGGCCGACCCCTACGAGGAGGCCTGGAACCAGATGCTGCTCCGGAGACAGAAGGCCCGGCAACTAGAGCAGAAGGTGTGTGCCCGGCCTGGCGTGTGTGCCTGCCTTCTTGGACCCAGGCTCTCCTCCTCCCTGTAGCCCGCCCAGTCTGCCCAGACCCTCTGAGCGACTGTGCCCATGCTAGGAACGGAGCTCAGCTGCTGGAGCTCCTCAGTTAGGGTTTGGGCTGCCCCTGGGACCTGCAGAGCACACAAGTCTGAGCTAAGGCGTGGTGAGGGAGAGGTGGTCACGAGCCCCTCTGCAGCCTCCACCATCTCCGTGCAGTGCCCACACCCCTGCCCAGGGGCTGGGCCAGTGGAGGAGGGGTGGGCTTAAGGAGCACAGAGAAGGTACTAGCCAGACCTGGTCCTGAGGTAGGGCTGAGGGGAGAGGAGAAGAGGTTGGGGTCAAGGGTCAGGGTCAGGGATCAGGTCTGGCCTTCTGGATAAAGTTGTTGGGAGTAGTGACTCCCATAGGGACCCCAAGGAAAGAACAAGGTTTTGGGCGAAGGTCAGGGTACTGGGGCCTCCCATGGTTAGGTGTCCACTCCTGAGACTGGGCAATGCAGGAGGGGTGGGAACTGCCCCTGGAGATTGCATAGGCCCAGGACCCCTGGAAATGCCGGCATGGGTGCCGCAGAGGAGCCCGGGGAGGGGCTGCCCAGAGGGTGCGGGCGCTCGCGAACTGGCGTGGTGCTGAGCAACAGGGACCCTGCCTGGCTGCCTGCCCACCTGGTGGCTCTTGTCAGATCAACAACTACCTGACGGTGCCGGCCCACAAGCTAGACTCGCCAACCATGTCTCGGGCCCGCATCGGATCAGGTAAGGCCTGGAGAGGGGCCTCGGGACTGGGTATTGGGTGCCACCTCCTGGGGATGAGAGACGGGAAGGGTAGGCCTCGAGCTGGGGCTGGGGGTCACCAGGGGTGGCAGGCCCTGCCCATCCCCAGGACAGAGGAGCTCAGTGGGGCTGCTGGAGAGGGGCATGAGGGGAGTAGGGTAGGTGGGCTTGGCAGGAAGGCAGAGCTCCCCTGGAGGTCCTGGCGTGGGCTTTCACCTGGGCCAGGCCTGGGCCACAGTCTGGGAAGAGGAACCGTGACGTGGGGGACGGGTCATAAGCCCCTGTGGACGAAGCCCTGAAGCCTGTGGGCGGCTGCCCTCCTGAGGGCACTGAGGCACTGCTGGCCGGGCTCGGGCAGCCTCGTGGGGTGGAGCCCACCCAGCTTGTGCCCTGGTTTTGGCCCCAGACCCACTGGCATACGAGCCGAAGGCCGACCTGCCCGTCATCACCATCGACCCGGCCTCCCCGCAGTCGCCCGAGTCCGTGGACCTGGTGAATGAGGAGCTGAAAGGCAGGGTCTTGGGGCTGAGCCGGGACCCAGCAGGCATGGCCGAGGAAGACGGGGACGAGGACGGGGGCATCGTGATGCGCAGCAAAGAGCCCTCGTCCCCAGGCACCGATGACGTCTTCACCCCTGGGCCGAGCGACAGCCCCAGCTCCCAGAGGATACAGCGCTGCCTCAGCGACCCAGGCCCCCACCCTGAGCCCGGGGAGGGGGAGCCTTTCATCCCCAAGGGGCCTTAGCACCAGATGTAGGCACAGACACTCCCACCGAGCAGGGGCTGCTGGGGACTCCCCTGCCCTTCCTGAC